AACCTTGTGCTTTGTGCTGATTGCCAATTGGCAACACAGAGGATGTGCAAAAATACCCAGAATATGGAGTAGCTTTCCCAAAAGTATGCCATGTTTTATCAGTTTGGAGCGACCTTCAGAGATTTGAGATTTCTGAAATATGTTTGCTATGAATGGGCATAAAGGGGATGCTTTGTATAATTTATAAAGATAAAGATGTTTGTTTGTTTGATGTAATTTGCTTTGTGAAGCTTCTTTTTGAGGAGAAGGGTGTATTTTTTATCTCCAAAAAACTTGATATATATATATATATATATATATATATATATATATATATATATATATATATATATATATATATATATATATGCAGTGGCAAATACTATGCAGTTCAGTAGAAAGGATAGAGGAAAAACCAGGCATGAAAGCCTATGACAAATCATAACAAGTTTGCTCAGGGTTGGTTTGTGTATAAAAAATTAGTATCAAATTGTTAATTAAGCAAATTTAAGGCAGTGTGTCAATATTAGACCCTGCAAAAATGTGACTGTTTTGTATAAGGTCAGGTAAAGAATCTGCATGCAAAAAGTACAGGTAACTAGTGAAAAAACAGATACTTAATTGTAATCAATTATGAAGCATATGGTGTTTTCCAACAAGAAAACACACTCAGGATTGATTCATAAATATCTTTGGGGGCAAATGTAAACTTGCCTTATTTTTTTTCGTTTCTTTTCTTTTTTTGTACAGAGGAGGATCATGCATGCATGCGTTAATAGAGTATTGACAACATTACAACTTTGTGTTTATTTTGTGTTATGTCAATGTTCTCTGCCAGAATAAATGTCTTTTAGCTGTGCAGCATGTGTGTCGTGAATGGAAAAAAAAAAGAATTAGCTCAGAAATGCCGCAGGGAAGCCTGGATTGGTGTTGGGAAGATGATTTGAAAAGATCTGGAAATGAAAATTTGAAAGAGATTGTGGAGCAGATTGATGGGAATATGATTAAAGGATTTTATAGTGTTATGCATTTTTGACACGGAATGATGACATAAAACATCGTTTAGAATATGGTGATTACATTTTGACATGCAATTGGGTTGTAATGGAATGTTGCGAGGATTTGTGTACAGATAGTGTTTTGTGATATTATCTGATTTTTAATTTGGTGGCCTTTTTACATCTTTGCACGCACACATACATATGCATGCACGCACACACACACACACACACACACACACATTTGCACGTACACCCACACACTTGGACTCACACACTTTTTCTTTCCTCTTTATCTGCCTCTCACTTACTACTTGAATGTTTCTAGTCATCTTTTTGTCTACATCTATTTTTACCAAAAATACTAACATATCCCTGGCTGAAGTCTTCTTTTTTCAAATGCCAAACAGACCTCAGGTGTAGTCTTCTCTCCATGGCTGCACAACTACAAACCTAAATCAATAGATTATGCAAGGAAAACCTGAAAGATTTGGAGATTTTGTCTCCTTTTATTATGTCACCCATCTCATGTAAAAAATAGAAAATTGTATGAAGGTTATAGAATTTCACCAGAGCACTTTGTCTTGTATACACTAGCGTAGGTGGGCTGCAACATTCTGAAAGTGTATCTATTTTTGTTGTGATAAAAAAAAAGCATTTTGAATATCAATTTGAGATGAAGGTTGGTGTTTTTTATTCTATAAGGTTGAGACATTTGAAACTGAAAAAAAAAAAATGCTGAAACTGATTTAATTAATGATTTTTTATGTGTAAATTAGTTCCCTTTACCTTTAGTTTACTCCAAAAGAAGAACAAATAACATTCCCTATTTAATGTCTGCCTTGCCCATTCTTGCTGAAGGCAAAAATTGTTTGATGAATTTGTAGACCTTAATATGTATTGCAACAAATATGTATTATTTGCCACAATACATTAAAGCTGTCGTACAAGAAATGAATAAAGGTGATTGTGTTAATTAGTCTCACATTTAATGGAGAATGATGCAAAAAATGTTTTCTTAACATGTTCACAAGTGCACATTAATGAATTCATCAAGTAAGTGTTGACCATTTAACATTACCCAATCTCGTTTCTCTGACGTAGTAGGGTTAAATACAGGTGTTGCTATTCATTAGTTTCACCTTGAATTAAAATTCCCAAAACATGTTTTGGATCAGTTCTTGTACTATATGTAATTGGGAATATTTTACACATTTAGGGATTGTGTTATTCAATGCGAAACATTTTACACATGTTATTCTAAAAACTGAGCGTGATTCAGATAGATATATTCTAGAAGGCTGTCAGTTTTCAGAAAGATATATACTGAAGGCTGTCAGTCTTTCAGAAAGATATATACTGAAGGCTGTCAGTCTTTCAGCTCTCCTGGAGGTCAACACAGGTGAACTTAGGCTTGCTAATTACCCTCATCCCCAGAGCTTCATCTCTCTTATTTCTCTCTCTCTCCTGGTATCTCCCACATTGTAGCGAGTTTCTTACACAAGCACCTAGCTCGTCCTCCACTCCATTTGGCTTAAAGTGCTGATAATATAATGCCACACAGCTCAGCCCAGTAGAAGACCTAGGGCCCAGTATATCTTGAAATCTTCTTGAAGCGTTGCCAGTTTCCAGCACTAAAGGAGCTTTCCACAGGGACCCAGCGCCTCAATGGCTAGGGCAAAAGTAAGGTGGCTGGCTCGTAACCCTCAAGAGACGAGCTCTATCTGCCTATCTAAGTTGCAGGAAATGAGTGAACTTGTTCGAGTGTGAAATCTTTAGATTTGCCTATTTAGTTGTGGATAACGCTTGTGTTCATTTTGCGGGGTGGGAGGGATGAGAGAGATTGAGTTGATGTCGAGTTGATGCTACAGTGTAGTTTTCCCTGCTTACCTGGGTGATGTGAAGTTATTGAGTACAGGTTGGCATCGTGGTATTCAACAGTCGTGTTTGCCAGACTGTTACTTGGTGTTGTTTGTGGGCTGCTGTTTTGATTATTGACCACATTGCACCTGCGACTTTGTCCAAAACGGATTTCAAGAAGAGCTGTGTGTGAAGAAAGTTAAGATTTCTATTTGTTTTGATTTGCACATATAGGCAGTGCAAACAAAATTTTGAAATAAGCTTACAATTATCAATTTGTTTAGTCTAAACAGAAACTGTATTGGAATTGGTGCACATTTACAGGAATGAGTATACATTCAAAACACACACACACACACACACACACACACACACACACACACACACACACACACACACACACACACACACACACACACACACACACACACTCTCTCTCTCTCTCTCTCTCTCTCTCTCTCTCTCTCTCTCTCTCTCTCTCT